AAATATTTTTCGATTTTTACTTTTCAATGATAAAAATTATATAAGACATTGATAGATAAACATGTGTAATCAAATTAAAATTTTGAAGGATCGGATAGTCAATCAGGATTTTGAAAGACTCACGAATCATATTTGGCTGGAAGTAGACATCTAACATCAAGCATGACAACACTGAAGAAGGATAAAAGGAGGGAAATTTGACCCGTGTCCTTAATATTTCTATTTTTTAATTAAAATGACAAATCTTTATTATCCCAAATCTCATTTTTTGGGGTTCAGAAAATAATAATGCAGGAGGAAAACTGTGAAACACACAAGGGATTTGTGGATGAGACCCTCTCTCTTCCCCTCATCCGATTTGGTTTCCAATTCCCACCTCCAAATGCTCATCCATTCCCTCTCTCTCTCTCTCTCTCTCTCTCTCTCTCTCTCTCTCTCATGAAATTATGGAAAGAATACATGAGCCCCACCCAGTTTGTCTGCATGTCACCCCATACTTATAATCTCTCTGTGTTATCTCTTCTATATCTATTTTGCACTGCTTCCTCTTCATGCACTTTGTTGCATAGTCTTGGACTCAAACTTCAGGTCGGCTTCCTCTCGGTCCTCTGCTCTTTCATTTCCCTTCAATTCTGTGTTCTTTCTTTTACTAGTACTGTCAAACTGCTTGGAAAGACTGTAACTTGTTGCCAAAAAAAAAAAAAAAAAAGATTGTAACTTGGGGCATTTTTTCAAGTGGGTTTTTGCATCTCACTTTGTAAGGGCTTTTTTTTATTTATTTTTGCTTTTGGAACCAATTAAAGTGACCAACTAACCGTGGCCGGTTGTATTTTCCTTACCAGTGAAATGGGTTAATTATTATTTTTTTGTTACAAGCAATAATACTACTCTAAGCTACACTAAGGAGATTCGAGACGTCGTATGTTGTAGTGAATTCAGTCTTTTTTTTACAAGCGATACTACTACTAGTAATCATTTTGATCATTAATGCATGATCATATTGAATATCAAAAGGATTTACTTCTCCACATTTGTAGTTGACATGGGGTCATAATCTATCTTTTATTGCCACCCTGAGTACTTATGATCAGTGGTTTTGATTCAGTTAAGTGTCGTCTGTGTGTGCGCGCGCGCAAGCACTGTTTCTTGACGCAAATCTGTGTTCTTTACTTCTTCTGATATTTGAACACTTTCTTGTTTCTAACTTCCTGGAAAAAGAGAAAAATGGAAGAGAAAGTTGTGTGCGTACGCAGAATATGATCTCATTGGCTTGATGTTGATGTTGATGTTAAATACATGTTTTTCAGGGAAGCGTTTACAGGCAACTTCTAAAATGGAGATAACCAACGTCAGCGAGTATGAGGCCATCGCGAAGGAGAAGTTGCCAAAGATGGCCTATGACTACTACGCATCAGGAGCAGAGGACCAGTGGACTCTTGCTGAAAACAGAAATGCTTTCTCCAGAATTCTGTAAGAATTCAATCTTTATCCGGAGATACCCAGTAAAAACTAAAATGCTGTAGTACTCGATAATATGTGTCTTTTTTTCTGTATAAAGAAAATATCAGTTTTGGGATTCTCATGAAACAAACATATTGTCATCAAACATAGGTTTCGACCCCGTATTCTCATAGATGTGAGCCACATAGACATGACCACCACTGTTTTGGGCTTCAAGATCTCAATGCCAATCATGATTGCCCCAACAGCCTTTCAGAAAATGGCTCATCCTGAAGGTATGCTATTGTTTCACCTTATTAAGCTTCAGTAGTTTTTTTTTCATTTGGGGAAAACATAGCGCAACTGGTGCTCTCGCGCTGATATTTGGATATTGCGTTTGAATTGTACTGTATCATGTGTACTAATATCATCTTTACCCCATGTAAGCTGTTGACAACATAAGAGTTACCTTGATATCTTTATTTACTGTGTTGCAAGCAATTTACTACCTATTGATTAGTAAGTCACCCCGAGGTCGCATGGTTAAAATACTTTCAACAAGGTTAGTCACCATCCAGTGTGCTGCTGAGCTTGAGAACAATTTTAATCTGTGTAAATTTGTTTGAGAACAATGAGAATATTGTACAAGGGGCACACAGACGTCTGCTTGATCCATTGTAAAATGGCATCCAGTGTCATACCTGATACTCTTTAAAGAAGCCATGGTGTGGTCCATCTGATGATGATATGCGAATTCTTGCAGGTGAATATGCTACTGCGAGGGCAGCATCAGCAGCTGGAACAATCATGGTACGTTGTTGACCTTCATCGTCTTTCAATAGCTATCGTTACACTAATAAAGATCTTAAGCCCATGGGTTCTCGCATTTTATTTATGGATTTTTACATGGTGGTTTGCTGTTATATTGCAAGTTCTGTCTGTGTTCTTTACATCTACCCCGTGTCGATTGTTTCAGACTTTGTCTTCATGGGCTACTTCAAGTGTTGAAGAGGTTGCTTCAACTGGACCTGGAATCCGTTTCTTCCAGCTCTATGTAAGCTTAAAATACTAATTCCATTTCTGTTCATTAGTTACGGTACCTAATTGTCCCTGGTCTTGAGATATGACTTTTGTGTAATTGTTTCCTTGCCTTACGCGTTCCATGTTTTTCTGGTCATTATTATCAGGTCTACAAGGACAGGCATGTGGTTGCTCAGCTGGTCAGAAGAGCCGAAAGGGCTGGGTTCAAGGCTATTGCTCTTACAGTTGATACCCCAAGGCTTGGTCGCAGAGAAGCTGACATCAAGAACAGGTCCGCTTCATGACAATATCTGTTGTAGCAATATCACTTGCTGAAAACATTCATATCAACCTAGTAAGATAAATAAATTTGGTGTAGATTTGTATATGTGCGTGTGTTTGTATTTTTATTTTTAACGGTTCAATAAGATTAATTCAGTTCGGCATTTGATGTAAGCTTAGCATGTGGAAAAATTCACTATTGTTAATACCTCTTATTTGGTATCCTGCAGATTTACTTTGCCTCCGTTTTTGACACTGAAGAACTTTGAGGGTTTGGACCTCGGAAAGATGGACAAAGTGAGTAGAAACTGTGCTGTCCTAATTTTAAGAATAATGTATTTTATGTTTAATAATTTGCTGTGTTGGGGTCTTGCAGGCTGCTGACTCTGGACTTGCTTCATATGTTGCTGGTCAAATTGATCGTTCTCTTAGCTGGAAGGTATGTCAGAGAAGACGGAAGTTAGAGATACATGAACTTCTAAGCAAGGCTTATAATATGTGCAAATTTTACAACTTGGTGTTCATAAGTTATTCAGCCATCTACACCGAGTTTAAAATGTGTACAACAAAAGAAAAGGACGGAATGTCAAGAAATGTGTTATATATCTATAGACTATTCAATGGAAGGAATCGAAAAGTACAAATCTAGGTTCTTCCATCTTTTGATGAAAAGTATAAAAGAATGAAGGTGTTTTGGCTGGGAATATTCAGCTGGACGTTTGTGAGGAAGCGATGTTTTCTCGACATGTATGCCTTTGTTTGAATAAGAAGTTGATGCACATCTAATGATCGGTTTTTCTATTTGGACAGGATGTGCAGTGGCTTCAGACAATCACTTCACTGCCTATCCTGGTGAAAGGTGTTCTCACTGCTGAAGATGGTATATATTTCAACCCCTTTTCTCTCCACAATTCTGATAGGTTTGTAATGCTTGTATAACTCTTCTACGCTCATATCATGCAGCAAGGATTGCAGTACAAGCCGGAGCAGCTGGTATTATTGTGTCCAACCATGGAGCTCGCCAACTTGATTACGTCCCCTCGACTATCATGGCCCTAGAAGAGGTACAAAAGCTTGATTTTAGCTGTTTGGGCTGCATCTCCTCAGATGTGTTTAAGTAAACACGCAATTACATGATCGTAGTTTTTCATTATGTTTTGATATGGCGCCGCTGTCTTGATAACTAGGTTGTTAAAGCTGCACAAGGACGCATTCCTGTTTTCTTGGATGGTGGTGTTCGTCGTGGAACAGATGTCTTCAAAGCATTAGCATTGGGTGCCTCTGGCATATTTGTAAGTAGAGTTTTGATAGCGATTTTTTCATATCAAAGCACTTATTCTATCCATATTTTACTCACCCATGCCCTCCACGAAAAGATTAACTCCGTTTCTCTGATGCAACCTTCCGAAATATGCTGGCTTTATCGCCATTACTCTAGTAAAACAAAATCCGTTCATTCAGCCAGGGTTTTATTTATGTTCTTCGTTATACTGTCTATCAAAACATACTGAGACTCGCTTCTCCCGCAGATTGGGCGCCCTGTGGTGTTCTCTTTGGCTGCTGAAGGAGAGGCAGGCATTAAAAAGGTACTGCAAATGCTGCGCGAAGAGTTTGAGCTAACCATGGCATTAAGTGGATGCCGTTCGCTCAAAGAGATCACCCGCAATCACATTGTGACTGACTGGGACGTTCCTCGCCCTCGCCATCACCCCAGGTTATAGAAAACATGCAATGAATAGCGGTGGAGAAATCTATACACGTTGAGAGTTGATGTGATCCGTTCCACAGCCTGCCTTTGTTCTTGGATTCCCTAATATTTCTGCATTTTCTGTAACGAAACTGATTACTGGATGTTGAGATAATATTTCCATGGCTACTGCTGCTGCCTTTCCCTGTATATTCTTTCTATCAAACCGAAATACATATTGATCGTTATATGCCACCTAATGTCCAGATTATTGAAATTTTCGTTAAAAATAATCACGCAACCAATAATTGTGTGACATTACCACCTGAACTTGTTTTTGTGTCGATTTATCCCTAGACGCCATTCAAGTTTAGGGGAATAGTTTTCAAAACCCTCATTGTTGATTCTTCTAATTTTTATCAAAACAATGTTGGAGATTTAATATAGCATTTTATGGCCTTTCAAAATCTAACCCCCATTGTTTGAATGCAAATATTTTTGCTCACCAACCTTGAGTGACGATGATGTTCACCGCCTGATTTATCAATTAGTTCTTTTATGGAAAAACAAATTTAAGTAGCAATTTGGCACGAAAAAGAAGTGGTAAAGTGACACGGAATAATAGTTGTCGCACTACATGCATTAACAGTGAAAGGAGATGTACAAAACCCTACATCAAGACCATCAACGCCGAGCCCGCTTGTTTTGCAATGAGATGCTTCGAGGTCATCTGTATGATTCTTAATGCAAAATTACTCCAAAAACTGCTCTCCTCAATGAATTCGGCAATAACGAATGATGGAGGGAGAAAAACAATGTATATTACTCTGTAAATAATGCCCTCAATAACCATTGAGTACTACAGGCTGACCGGCCATTGTATGAAAACGTCACGCAGCCAAGTATAGATACTTTGATTCGTTTCACGCTTCAGACTCTCCGTTAGCTTATCAACAACCGCTCATAGCCTCTTCAATGAATCGCCAACTCCTTGGAAGAAACAACAAGAGAGTACAAAATCTGCGATAAAGATCCCAACAAGAGATATAACCACAGCCGAAGTTGTTGACTCCCCAACTCCCTTGGCTCCTCCCATAGTGGTAACTCCCCAGGCACAACTCACAATCGATATGATCGGACCAAAAACCTGTGACTTGATCATTGCACTAATTATATCCCATGGCTTGAGAGCTCTGCAAGCTGAATCCAGAATAATGTTGATGCTAACACCATAAATGCCATCGGAAAGGAGGGCGCTGGATGCCATCCCTACTGTGAAACACATTAGAGTCAGAAACGGTAGAGCAATACAAGTAGCAATCACTCTTGGAGTCACAAGATAATCAACTGGGTCTGCCCCGAGAACTCTCAGTGTGTCGGTTTGCTCAGAAACCTGCATTGTTCCCAACTCTGCTGCAAATGAACTTCCAATACGCCCAGCAACCACGATTGATGTAATTACAGGACTCAACTCCCTTGAGAAAGCCAGGGCTAAAACCCCACCAACAGCTCTGCTTAACCCTAATCTAGAAAATTCCCTAACGAATTGGATAGTAAAAGCCATGCCAACAAATGCTGAAGTCAAGAGACAGACCCCGACGGAACCAGGTCCAACTCTCTTTAATTGCTGAAGTGTATTTCCCCAGTGCACTTTGCCCTTCAAGGTTCTCAAAATAACCTGTCCTGTCAGGATAAGAGCTGAAAACCCCCTCCACAAATACGTGGGAGGTGACCATTTGTGCAACACCGTCTCCACTTCCGGACTGGGTGCATGATTTGTGTTTGAATCTTCTAACACAGAGGCAGAAGGATGGCCATCATCTGTGTTGGGAACTGCAAACAATCTGGTTTGTTGCTTCAGCAAGAGAAACTTACACGACTGAGGTCTTACAGTAATCGGAACTCTCCTATCAAGATGATTTGAATATGGGGTTTGTGATTTAATCCACCCTACTGGTTTTAAAAGGCTTCTTCTGATATATGTTTCAAAACAGTAATCAAAATTCAAAAAACATGAACACAGAAAGAAAAAAAAACCATGAGAAGTGAACATTTATAAAACTAGATACCTGTCAGAAATATAAGAGAACAGATGAAGATATGAAGCGGTTTGCATCGTTGGTTCTGTTAAATCTTCTCAACCTCTTGTGGATAACAATAAAGTCTGCTTTCCGATGTTTGCGCAGAGGAGAAAGCACCACAGATCAGTGTAAAGTCCGGAAATGTACGTGAAAAGCTTTCAAAAAACCCAATGCAATCACTGGGGACGGGCCCTCCCCAGATTACCATGCTGTTCAACACCATTCATCAACAAACACACAAGAAATAAACAAATCAAATTGGCCCATAAAAAAAGTCAATGACAGTAATGAACTTGTTTAGAGTTAAATTGAACAAGCCAAAAGAGACTAGTGTTCATCTACACCAAGTGTTTTGAATTTTTCTTTTCTTTTTCGATTACAATCGATGTTACTACTCTAATCTACATTAAAGCGAGGGGAGAGTTTCAACCCGAGACGCAGTGAAATTTAACACCAATACCGCATCCATTTCTTGATCAACATAGTTCAGCAAACTTTTAAACATTATATAGCAGCTGAGAGAACTCCAATTCCCAACTGTACAATTTTGCACCCCAATTAACAGCATACATCATATCAATTCAACAAAAAAATGCAAAAGATATCAAGATTATATAAAATCATACGGAAAATATAAGATGTGAAGAAAATACCTTGGAAGATCAACGGCCCTGATCAAAGCACGCAAATTCAGAACCCTAACAATGGCGAAGGCTCGCGGCTTGCGGATGGTTGGTGACGCAAGTCAGAGGCAACTCGGATGAGTGTGAATCTTTTTGGTCCACAACAAACGACTGAAAGACGAGTGTAGGCCCATTTTATTGTATTGGGTCTTCCAAGCCTACTCCGGCGGCCCACTTTGACATCCCAACACACTCTCTCTCTCTCTCCCCTTCCTTCATCTTCTCCGAGACTTCAACTGCAAGTCTGCACTCTCAGTTGGAGATCAGAGTCCAAAACGTACAGAGAATCATGGCTGGCAAAGGCAAGCTTTTTCTTTCTTTTTTCTGAAAGCTCGTATCTTTGCAGTTATGCTCAGATTTTACGAGGAGTTTTGAGTTTCTGATTGCAGGAAGGAAGAGGGGGAGGGCTTGCGTGGTGGTGCTGGGCGACATTGGGCGGAGCCCCCGTATGCAGTATCATGCTCTTTCGCTTGCCCGGCAGGTAACCGTCGCCTGTCTGAACTACTACAGCTGATTTAGCAACAACCCAATTCTTAAATTTGTTTTTTTGCTTTTGAAATGTAATTTGAAATCGGAATTGCTCATTTTTCCATGAGAAATTTGGACCCTTTCGTGATGTTTTCTATTGAACGTGCGTTTCAGGCGTCTCTGGAGGTAGATATTGTTGCATATGGAGGTACATCTTTTGCTTTGATGGTAGAATTAGGTGCAGTGTTGAGCAAATTTTAATCTAAATGTGACTTTATAGTGCTGATTCGGTATTGAGTTGGAATGTTTCGACAGGTTCCGAACCCCATTCTGCTGTGCTGGAGCATCAGTCCATTCACATACACGAAATGGTTTTCATTGTTTACATGTATTTTTTATTTTTGCCATGGGATCTTAGAATCGAATTCCTTTGGTCGTCCACAAGGTTAAAGCTTTTGTGATTCTGGTTTGCAGCAGCAGTGGCCGACATTTTCGCGTGGCCTTCCCAGTATACTTAAACCCTTCGTGCTATTGATCAAGGCAGTGACTCAATTTTTAATGCTCCTGTGGTTTCTTTGCGTTAAGATACCCGCTCCCGATGTATTTCTGGTTCAGGTCAGCTTGCACTGCTCCAGTTGGGAAGTTGCAGAAGCTTTATAAACAAGACAGTGTTTAATTGTTTTTCCTTGACAAGTTTTCGAATTTGATTAATTAGTTGCCTACAAGTTTCAAAATTTTGAGGCTAAAAGTTTTTGTTATTTCCTTAATTCTGTAATTAGAGTAAATGAACTGAGTGTAAACTTCCCTTTCTCTAAATCCTATGATTCATTTTGCTTGTGCAGAATCCACCTTCTGTTCCGACCTTAGTGGCTGTAAAATGGGCAAGCTGGTTTAGGAAATCTGCCTTTATTGTTGACTGGCATAATTTTGGATATACTTTACTGGCATTGTCTCTTGGAAGAAGTAGTCAATTTGTGGCAATATACCGTTGGTATCTATTGAATTTTTAAACTTTTCTTTGAGGGCATATTCTTGGTGGTGCAGTAGATTGAGTTTTTCTTGCCTGATTAGGTTTGAGAGGCATTTTGGGAAGATGGCAGATGGTTCCCTATGTGTAACGAGGGCAATGCAACATGAATTGGCTCAAAATTGGGGGATTAAGTAAGAGGGTTAGCTCAGTATTCAAAATTTATTTCATTATACTTCAAAAAAATTCATTACCAAGTATTATATATTTACTTGCCTCCTCTTATTTTGCAATATAATAGAGCCACAGTTCTATATGATCAGCCTCCTGAGTTTTTCCAACCAGCTTCACTCGAAGAAAAACATAAGGTGTTTGAATGCTAACACTGAGCTTGTTTGGACAGTTCTTTTGTTTTGGATAATTTCGTATAACGTGTGAGTTATCACAGTTGTTCTGCAGATTGGATAAAATTCTAAGGCAGCCTCTTGGTGTTCAAGATTGCACCAGCACTGGTAATATATAATCTGTTTCTGTAAATCTATAATTTACATCTCAACTGCCCTTCATCACTTAGTAATTTCTTTCAATATCTAAACATATGTTTAACAGAAACAGGGGAAGAGAATACAGACATGAATGAGACTTTGTTTACCACTTTCGTTGGTACTGACGTTACTTCAAAGCCAAACAGGCCGGCACTCATAGTTAGCAGTACAAGCTGGTGAGCTAATATTCAGTGGAATACTTTTAGTGTAACATGAAAGACAAACCCCATGTTTACAAACATTTGATTTTCAATTTTTATTTGTCTTCTTTATTATTGTCTTACGATAGAATTCTTTGGATTTGAATGGTGCTTTACAGGACTCCTGATGAAGATTTTGAAATTCTCTTGGAAGCAGCTGTCATGTATGATAGGCGTGTTGCTGCAATTTTAAATGAAGATGATTCTACTAAAGAAGAGGTTATTTGGAAGGAAATCCATAGTGGGAAGCAATACTTGTACCCTAGGCTGTTATTTGTCATTACTGGTGAGTATAACTGCTTTTTTGTTCGAGGGTGTCAAGTTCCTTTTAGCTTTGTGTATCTGTTGGAAACAGAGTGGGTTCTCTTATATGCACTTGCACATTGATTTAATACATGTAGGTAAAGGGCCTGAAAAACAAAAATATGAAGACAAAATTAGCCGATTACACCTCAAACGCGTGGCATTTCGTACTATGTGGTTGTCTGCTGAGGACTATCCATTGCTTCTTGGTAGGTCATTTATTTTCAATTGTTTGTGCTTTGTCCCCATTGTTTGTTGTACATTATATTCTCTTTGGAAAGTATTCAGTGTTATATATTTACATTTGCAGGATCAGCAGATCTTGGTGTATGCTTGCACACGTCCTCATCAGGGTTGGATCTTCCCATGAAGGTAAGGGATAAACTGAATGCTGCACTAGATAAGATTTGCAGCAGTATAAATTTTCTAGAACTGCTTTCCACTTTACCTTATTGTACATTTTTTGGCAGTAGGTCGTGGACATGTTTGGTTGTGGACTGCCAGTTTGTGCTGTTTCCTACTCATGGTAAACTCTTGTTTTTATTATTTACTTTCTTTATGTGATAGGAACCTTACTTGTATCACACGCTATATGACATTTGGGGATGCTGTACATTAAAATCTGATGTCCTTGGTTATGATAATTTTGGTTCAAAGCATCAAGGAACTAGTGCAAGTTGAGAAAAATGGCCTTCTCTTTTCATCGTCTTCAGAGCTAGCTGATGAACTTTTGGTAAGCTGGCCAGCTTCTTGTTTCTCTTTCTGGATGTTTTGAGTCTTTTGACTGCTGCTTAAAAATGATTGTAACAGTTAATACTTACATAGATTTCCACTCTTAGGTATATGAATGTTCTTATTTTTTGGATCAATTAGTCATGCCTGAAAAAACCTCATCTGCAATTCATGTAACTTGTAGTTCAGAAAATGTTCTATTCTTTGGCCTCCAGTACAGTTTTCTGTATCAGTGGTGGTAAAAAAGAATACCAAATCTCATAAGTTTGGTGTCTCCTTGTGCAATATTAACGTAATTGCTTCAATTAATAGCTCAAAATTTTGCATTACTGTTTAGTGCAATTTCTTTATGATAATGTTTGTCTCTGATAAACCTGCACAGATGCTGTTCAAGGGTTTTCCAGATGCATGTGATTCGTTGCAGGTTCTCAGGAATGGTGCATTGGAAATGGCTTCATCTGGGAGGTGGGCTACCGAGTGGGAAGAGCATGCCAAAGCATTAATACTAGAGGTAAGTTTACGATATGCATGCACATCAGTCTTAGTTTTCAACTGTTTTACTTTAGATTTCATTACGTTCTAGCCAATAACCTTTTAAGAAAAAAATGGATTTTGTATTCTATATTCTTAGCATCCTTTTACTTTACTGAACTGTTTAATGGCCATGAATCTGATTAAGGGGTTCTGAAATTGCAGGTTATCTCTAAAAACTCAGATTGAATTCTGGTTCCGGGTGAAAGTTGTTTAGTCGATGAGGTAATATCATGATACCAGTTATGGTTTCTTTTGTGCAACCCAAGTTTCACAGACTAATTTCCTAGGACATACTGCACCAACGCAATTGTTTCCCCCACTTTTGTTTTGTGATATGAATTCAAAAAGGAACTTAAAAATCGCCCGGTTCTTTATGAAATTTACGTTACCAGGTTTGGCAGACCGGTTGGTTTAGGTGCCAGTAAATTAATTTGCAGAGTGGAGAATTCAGAACAGCTTCTGGGGATGTGATCAAAATCGTATGTACAGTTCATCACGCGTTGAAATATTGTGGATACTTGCAGATTTTAGACTTGAGAATTGGCTTGTTTTGATACCCTATTGATACGGAACAAAGGTACACTTTTATGTATCTTTTGGGTCAAGTTACATGTTGCTTCTTTCTGAATATGAATTGACGCTATTATTTTCTTTTTGGGTTAAAGAACGTTTTGGTCACTGTGTTTTCCATTAAGCTCATTCTCTCTTTTTAAAACTTCTTAATATTGTTAAATGATTTTGTAACATTTTAATAGATACATCCGTATTTTCAATTCAATATTCTAATGTATTTTTAACAATAGTTGATGGAAGTGACCAAGATTGCAAACCTTGTAAAATACAGTACCAAATTGGCTAAAGTGAAACATACTGACTAAAATAGATTTTGATCATAAACACCGTGACAAAAAAAGTTTTTATCTATAATAAAACAAAACAAGTCATTTTTACTTTTCTCTCATTCCGTGGGAGAGCTTCTGTCCTTCCGTGAGAGTTCTTCTCCCTGTTGGTGATGGTTTCAATCTTAATCCAAATCTTTGTCGCCGACTCTAGCTCCGGCCAGGGTTGGTTGCCACTTTCCCATTTCTTTTGTTTTCTCCTCTTTTCTCCTTCTCTGCTGCTTTTTCCCCTCCTCATGTCGATTTAAATCTAGGGATGTCAACGGTTCGGTTTGGGGACGGAAATGCTATATCCATCATCATAATCATGAAAATTAACCGTATCCATAACAGTAAATTAATCATCGGGTATTATCCATAACCATACCCACCGGGTAACGGATTCCCTATCGGTTAACGGGTATATTCATCTTCTTCAATACAAAAAATATATTCGTTCATTTAAGACATTATAAGTTAATAGATATTAATATCATCATTAAACATTTGATGTGTAAAATGATCTAATGAATGGATCTTGTTGAGTATAAAAATTAAAACACTGATGATGTTGGCTTGTCTTTGATATCTCACATAAGAACCATTGAGTTCATATTGATTTTGAATCAAAACTTTACTTTCCTACAAAATGCAATTTTTGTATTCTCAAGGTAATAGTTCGGTGAATAATGATATACAAACACACACACAAACACACACACACACACACACACATATATATATATATATATATAAATTATATTATTTACTAATCGGGTCGGATTCGGTTATGGATACGGTTTGGGGACCTCTATAATCATATCCAAAACCATAACCGAATAATATAAACGGTTTTTCCCCATATCCAGAATATACCCAAACTTCCAGACCCAAATCCATTCCATTCAGGCAGTTATCCATGGTTATCGGGTTTAACGGTTAGAATTGTCATCCCTATTTAAATCCATAAAAATAAAAATTTAAATCTTCAATTCTATAAATTAAGATAGTTTAGAATACTCTAAAAAAAGAAAATTGCATAGTTATGAACAAAATGAATGTCAGCAAGTGACCCTTTACCATAGTGGTGAAAATGAGTTGAGCCCTTGCATGAAAATGTAAGTTTGAACCCCGTTGATGGCTAATCTAACAAAATCTATCGTTTGACAAAAAACAAAATGAAATGTCAAAATAACTATAGCAAATTAATCTTTTTGCCATGTTGGTTCAGTTTGGGCAAATTAATCTTTTTGCCATGTTGGTTCAGTTTGGGTTCTAGTTGGGCCCTTGTCACCTTGTTACTTTTAGGTGGGCCATTCGTATTTCTCTTACCTTCCAGTTAGGCCCTATATCGGTCGGCCCACCAATTATTTTCTTTTAATTTTTGGTCCGCAATTTGTCGAAGAGATAGTTAGGGTTTTAGACTGCAGAAATCAAGGTGGCGGGGGTTTAAACGTTCCAGTTTCAATAGCAGAAAAAGCTTCGCCTGCAGCTGCAGCAGCATCAATGGGGAAGAAGAGGCAGAGGGAGAGGCACCAGAATCCGGAGCCGTTCCTCGCTGAAGAAAATGGCTCCGTCGCCTCCAAGAAGCGGACCAAGTCGAAGCAGCACCAGCAGGAGGAGAAGCTCATATCTTCCGGAATGAGCTCCAAGATCCTCAAGCAGGCTCTGGCTCAGCAGCGGGAGATTGAGGACGAGGAGAACCGCGCCCAAAACCCGAACAATTCGTTGCTGGATGTATCGGAAGAGCCGCGGAAGGAGGAGGCCGACGGCGAAGAGGAAGACATCGATGATTTCGGTGGATTCTCCGAAACGCAGAGCCGTTTTGACGGTTATGAAGTGAGTTTTGATTGCTAATTGTTTGTTTATTGGATTTTTTGAGTTTGTTTGGATGGTGATAATCTATGAGGAAAACATACGAAATGTAAAATGAATGCTGAATTCTGTTGTTTTGTTACTTTTATTATTGTTAGGTTTTGATTGGATGGAAATAATTTGATTTGAGAACGAAAGATGTTTAATTTGAGTTTCAGGAGGGTGATGAACATGGTGAGAAGCTATTAAATGAGATTGATGAACATGATGAGAAGATATTGGAGCAATTCTTGTCAAAGGATGCCGGTCCGCAGCGTACATTGGCTGACCTCATTGTTGCAAGAATCAAAGAGAAAGATTCAAATGTCGGCTCAGGTAGCTACGGAATATGACTTTGTTGCTCATTAGCTTAAACTGAAGGTCTTTTCTTTAGTATATTTTCATTTGTTGATTCGATTTGTTCGGTTGCAGATGCGAGGCCTTTGCCCAAATTGGATACCTCTGTCATCGATTTGTATAAGGGGTAAGTAAGCTATTTTTTCTCTTATTAGGACATAAGATTTGAAAGTACAGATGTGATTCGAGTAATGTGAGGCCATGGAGACGACTTCTTAATTTTTCGATGTTTGTGCAGGGTTGGTAAGTTTCTTAATAAGTACACTGCGGGGAAGATTCCCAAGGCATTCAAACATATCCCTTCAGTGCCACGATGGGAGGATGTCCTATATTTGACTGAGCCTGAGAATTGGTCACCAAATGCAATGTATCAGGCTACGAGAATTTTTGCTTCCAATTTGGGTAAGGAGAAGGTAGAACGTTTCTACAAGCTTGTGTTGCTCCCAAGGGTGAGAGAAGACATCCGCAAGCATAAGCGCTTGCATTTTGCACTATATCAATCTTTGAAGAAGTCTTTGTACAAGCCTGCTGCCTTTTTTATAGGAATACTGTTTCCCTTGTGTGAGGTAAACATGTCATCCTTCTCCACCTAGTTGCAGTATTTTGAAGTTTAAGCGTTGTTTGTTTACTTTGGAAGCTCATTCATTGATTTCATTCTCCTGGTATACTGAAGTTATGGGTTTATGTTGTAAACCTTTTTTGCTAGTCCATTCGTATTTATCCAAACTAAGTTTTTGAGATCTGATATTCACCTCAATTTCATTATATTAATGGGATGCATGGATCTAAAAGGTTTTTAGGGCTTTGGAATGACTGTTTTTCTAATCCTAATGCACTCTCCCTGTGGCCCCATTTCTGTTTCTTCTTGAGCAGTCAGGGACATGTAATCTAAGAGAAGCTGTTATTTTTGGGAGTATTATTCAGAAGGTCTCCATTCCTCCACTTCATTCTAGGTGTGTTAGCTGCCTTATCAAGATTTGGTATCTATCCCATGAATTGTGAATCTTTTTTGGGCTTTTTGTTTAAAAATAATTTGAGAAACCAATTAAAGTTATCATGCACAGGTCTCATGATTATATCTTATTTCTTGAGCTAGGAATCTATGGTTCCATAACTTTTCCGTTTTGCTTTTGTCTTGTCTTGTATTTAGCAACTTATTCTGTCATTTTCTGTTTCCATTGGTGGAAGTTATACTGTTCATTAATATTCTTAATAATCCATCTGGGGAGATCTCTGATACATGCTTTTGATGTGTTTTCAGTGTTGCATTAATGAAGCTTGCAGAAATGAAGTACTGTGGCACAACGAGGTAAACCATTTAGAAGTTAGTATTTCCAAAATGGTTTGAAAGAAATAGACATAGCTTCTCTTAGAGTATGCGGTTACAAGATAGGTGGATTTGTGCCGATAAAAGTTTGAAAGAAAGAAGATATTTGTTAAAGCACAATCAGTTTCCTTATGTGATATTTATTCAATATAATGAATTTAAATAGTTGATGGTTGGTCAGTTTGGAAGTACTCTCGTTATTATAAAGGGAGAAGGTCCTTGTATGCGACAATGTTTTGACAATGCTGTTTTTATGAATTGTTGCAGTTATTTTATAAAGCTTCTTTTGGATAAAAAGTATGCCTTGCCATATCGCGTACTGGACGCTCTTGTTGCACATTTTATGAGATTTATGGAGGAAACAAGAGTAATGCCTGTGATATGGCACCAGTCACTTCTTACATTTGTGCAAAGGTGGGGAAAGTTTTTAATAGTTTCTTCCTTGCCTTAATGATGGAGACAGATTGCATATTTGTAGTATTGTGATATAGTTTTAATAGTTTTGGTGTGCATAATTCCTTGCAGGTATAAAAATGAATTGCAAAAGGAGGACAAAGATAATCTCAGAAATCTTCTTGAAACGCAAAAACACTATTTGGTAGGAGCAATTTCTCTTGAAGCATTTGATTTCTGCAACTATGTGGCAATAATGTCATCTGTATTCGGTGATTCAATTGTAGGTAACCCCTGAAATAAGAAGGGAACTAGATAACAGTCGCAATCGTGGTGAGAAAGAGGACGATCTCATGTCAATTGATATCCTTCGTTCATTTTTGCTTTGAATTTTCATTTGTTTCACAGTAGTCAAATTTTTTCGGTATTGCATCTGAAAACGCGACCTTTTATGGACAATAAGCTGCTAGTGTCGTGTGATTTGCTTATCAGCATTGAATTCCGAGAATAAATTATAACAAAGAAAGTATCCAGTGTGCCCCTTGACTTCACATACCTTCTCCAGTTGGTGTGATCAATAAACCTTTCGAAGAGGATTGGTTTGACATTCCAGATGTGCCTATGGAGGACGACTAGTTTATTGCTCGGTAGGATGCTTGTGTATGCTGCACTTTTCTGTTTCTCCTCTTAATTTTGTTATCGTTATGTTTTCTCTTTATTATGTCTTCGTGACGTGTGTGTTTTTCAGGCGAACCTTGGTTCTGCTGCAGGCTGTTGTCGGAGTTGGGCGAAAGGAGGAGTTTACCCGCTGTTGTCGGACTTGGGCGTAACATGTGCCCTGAGAGTTGAAGCAATTTTGAAGCGGAGGAGTTTACCCACTGGATAGTTGTTATACAAGCAATATTAGTTTTTTTAATTTAAATTTTAAATTTTAAATTATTACACAGCTTCCAGTAATTATGTATCATCTTTTTATTCATGAGTTTCCATGTACTAGTTGAAATATTTGAGTTGAAAATTGAAGTTGAGTCCCCCAATTTGATGGAAACAAAGGCATATGGGCTTCCCTGTTGGTAACATCTTTAAAAAGTAAAAATGCTTCCCTTTAAAATACATTAAATATATTTTATTAAAGGGCAAGTCTTTCTGAACTCAAAAGCACTTCTAATTGTTTGGAGAAACTGTTTTTGGTGATTTGAATTGCTTTTAGTTATTTTAAAAACATTTTTCAATACACACATGCTATTTTGAGTCATTTGGAGCCATCACTATTTTTACAGTCCAGCTTTATATTCTGAGATAACATCAAACGGTGGGCGGTACTTAATTCAGCTGAGGCCGAGATTCCCTAAGGCCGAAATCCAGCCCGAAATGCTTCAAAATCCGACTTCAATGAGGGCTAGGCCGAAAAGAAAAAAGAACCCACCAAGCCAAGTTTCAACCTTTTGGTCATTGGGCTGGCCGTTCTTAGCCAGTTGGGTAGCCCCCTTGAGGGGCCTTTTTTTTTAGGCATAATTAAAAAAAAAAAAACTTAAATTCTAATTTTTTTCCCCTTATAAATATCTAAGTATCTACATAATTTCTCACAAACATCCCTCCCTTACCTCTTCCAATAATCTAAATTTAAAATTTTCAAAATTTTTTTTTCAAATGGCCACATCTTCAACCAAAGAATAAGTAATCCAGTAGCTTATTCATTTAGCGACAAGTGACACTTAAAATATGTCCGAAAACCTTATTTTAAAATGATAGTTTAATTCAATTAACCAATAAAATTAAAAAACAAACTTAAAAGAATAAATTATTGAGGGGTTAAAAAATAGCCGCATTCAGTTGGAGATGATATATAAATATAATCAAATACTATTCATTAAAAAGTAATTTATTGTAAAACTATAATCTGAACTGGAGTTAAACATGATCCCTTTAATTTAGGTATTTGGTGCCAACAAAAGTGATTTCACGTGTTGGGCTCGTGATACTTAACCGGAGAAATAGATGAAACGGAGGGAAATCTGACGGTGGCGCGTCTCTCTTCTCCTTCTTCCCTCTCCAAAATCCCTAACAAGCTCAGTTGACTCGCGCACTCATCAGATATCATCTTCGACTCCCTCCTCTCTCCCCTCCTCTCCTCCTATTTTCACGTCAATTCTTCTTTGCTTCGGATTTCGCCGATATACAAATACATACACATATTTATAGGGTTTATATACGACTACTGAATTTTTGTGAAATTTTGATCAGAAGAGAACCAATTCGAGTTTAATCAAGGAGCTTTAGGGTTTTCGAAGAGCATCAAAGATGGGAGAACGTAAGGTTCTGAACAAGTACTATCCGCCGGACTTCGACCCTTCGAAGCTGCCCCGGATCAGGAGGCCGAAGAATCAACAGATAAAGGTGCGGATGATGCTTCCGATGAGCATTCGGTGCAACACCTGCGGCAATTACATCTACAAAGGCACCAAGTTCAATTCTCGCAAAGAAGATGTCGTTGGAGAGGTACGTCGTTCCTTCTTTAATCGCTGGGGTTTCTAATTGCGTAGCCTAACTCGTTTTCATTTGATTTCTAGGGTTTATTGTATCGTTTTAAATTGTTGTGGGTATTCTTGTTCTTTGAGAATGTGGGAATTAGGTGTTTGATTAATTTCTTAGGTTTGGGTTTGACAGGGTTTTTGTTATGTCCTGTGAGCTGGGTTATTGATGGTTTTACCATTTGCAGACGTATTTGGGAATTCAAATATTCAGATTTTACTTCAAATGTACCAAGTGCTCTGCGGAACTCGCGATGAAGACAGACCCTCAGAATTCTGACTATGTTGTTGAGGCCGGTGCGACGCGTAATTTTGAACCCTGGCGCAATGAAGATGAGGTAAAACAGAAACAAAATGATGACTTTCCACTTACCCTGTTCTTTCATGTTTTCAGGTTCTCTTATTTTGTGATGAACATTGCTTAACCGCTTGATTTGTATATATGTTTTTTCTTTTCAGGAAGTAGATAAGGAGAAACAGAAAAGGGAATCCGAAGAAATGGGAGATGCCATGAGAGCCTTGGAGAACAGAACACAGGATTCAAAGAGAGAGATGGACGTCATGGCTGCTTTGGATGAGATGAAGTCCATGAAGGTAGATGTCTAGTAGTTGTTTATCTTGTGATAAGTCGCAAATTTTTTTTCCTTCGTACCTTGATAGATGGATGGACAATCCAGTGGATGTGATGTAAACATACAGTGCTGCCACTAAATTTGTAAAGCATGACATTTCTGTTTCTGTCGATATGCATATGAATATTATGTTATGCATTTATTCTCTGTGTCGGCTACAATTCGGTATCCTGGGATACTAATACAAGGTTTACGGTTTTCAGTCCAGGCATGCGACTGTGAGTGTGGATGCTATGTTGGAGGCTTTGAAACAAACTTCTGCCCAAAAGGTACACATTTATATGCTTTTTATCTCTAGACTGGTTTAAACTTTATACCGAATAAATACACATGCATGTATATATGATATTGCTCCCTGTCCAGTGTCATGTATTGTCTGCTATACGCTTGTGGATTTGTTTAGATATTGTAATGCAAAAACATGTAGAAGCATGGTTCCTTGAGTGTGCAAAAACTTGCTGCTCTGATTTAGTTTCTATGAATTTGTTTACAACATCAAGTAATTCAGGGTACAATAATTATATAACCAAAGAAATTTGATAGGCTTCTTGAGCCAACATATTATAATGTGTTGCAAATAGTTGAGTTATCTTCGTGTCTTGAACCTTGGGTAAACCAAAAACCTGATGTGTTTAGTATATTGAAATGACATACATTACCTCGGTGTGTGAATTTAAAGGATTGAAGAGTTTTATTATATACATGTACTTTCAAACAAAATGATACTTGTTTTGTGCGTTCATTTCTATCTTGAATTTGCTCTGCAACTTGTTTACTCTCAGTTATTATTTAGTGAGTGTACTGAAGTTGATGTTTTACAGGAAAAAAGGATTGAAGACGAGGATGAAGCAGTCATAAAATCAATAGTATTCCATGTTAGTATTTATGCGCTACCTTGTTTTATGTCCAACTTAATCATCCTTGATCAATTTTGTGCTTTCATTTTTCTTCTTCTTTCTTGTGGGCTGTTTGTTTCTAATCCAATTAATTTTTTCTGAACAAATTTATGCAGAACTCAAAAGATTATATTAAAAGGATTCATGATGAAGATTTAGATGATGAAGAAGATATGATTGAGCCTTTAAGTGGCAACAGCGAAACATCAACCCATAAATTGAAGGTACGACATGTTAGTTGTTTGATATATACATGTTGTCTTATTAGAGATTACATACAGAGTATGCTGGACTTTTGGTTTTAGATCCAGCTCTACTTTATGTGGTTCTTTAATTATATCCTTGAATGGAGTATCACATGTGTGCGGTTTTTGTTATTGGTTCTTAAATGGAGTATAACATGCATGTGGTTTTTGTTATTGGTGTATGTCGTGGTGTTCTTATATACTCATCTAGAAATTGCACGATGATTCTTGCAAATACCATAATCAAGATAACTTAGCAATATGCTCCATCCATCCACTCCTCTCTTTCCTACCCCGTGCTATTTTGCAATTGTATGAAGGGGAAATATTTCTTACAGTTGGAATCTCAATTGAAAATCGATTCTGGTTTCTAAACTTACACTGGTGGTCAGGCATCCTGCTGAGGGAAAGTAATTAATTCTTTATTGTGTGGGCTATTAGCCCTCAACTCGCCTAAACAACATCAGCATGTTTTATGTTGCAACAGTTATCTGCTTTTTTTGTACAACAGTAAGCTTATAACGTTTGTTTGCACATATTTTCCATGCAGCGGCAAAAGCTTACTCAAGGGCTTCCTAGCAATCCGACAGATTGGTTGACAAAAAGCAGTATTTCTGATACCTCAAGCAACGGAGGTATGTCAGACACGCACGGATTGTTCTCATCCCTGATTCAATTGTTTGTTTCCTTAGGTTGCGTTTGGTACGCAGACGGGATGGAACGGGACGGGACGGGACGGGACGGAACGGGACGGGACAGGACGGAACGAAGGTGTAATTTTTGAAAAAGACATGGGGTATATTTGTCTTAAAACGGTAAAACATTGTGTTCCACAGACGTGGAACAAACCCGTTCCAGGGGGAGGAGGTGGGACGCAAAAACACCCAAAATCTGTCCCGTGGAACAACCCGTTCCACCCATTTTTGGCGCACCAAACGCGGGACGGAACGCCTCGTCCCGTTCCGTCCCGTCCCGTCCCACGTACCAAACGCATAGATTCTCTCCGTTAGGCATTATTTGACCATTTATATTATTTGGCTGTTGACAGGGAATCGAAATACTTTCAAGTCTTCGAATGTTAGGGTTGCTGTAGTTAAGAAACCAGTTGTGGCTGAAGGTAAAAAGCCAGCGGAACCAGAAGACAAGAAACAATTGGGAGAGGAGGTTCAAAATTCGAAAAAACCAAATGAGAAGAAACAAGAGGGAGAGAATAAAAGCAGTGCTAGCCAATGTATTGCAATCATTGTGCCAAAACTATGATAGCGACGACAGTGATGAATGATTAGTTGTGTATTATGTTTATGAACTACTATTTTGATTCCCGTAATCAAATTCCTACTTGTATTTTCTCCTATTGATAAGTGGATAAAAGATGAATTTTTGAAATGTTTTTTTATAAAACTAAAATTGTGGGGGTATTTTTTCGATTTTACTATTAATTACGAGAGAATCTGTATAAAATCAGTGAAATCTTTAACAATTAGGCATATGTTGCATTTTTTAATTTTTAATTTTTTTGATGAAGTATAGCGTTAGTGGGTTAAATTATTAAATGTTGGGAAAGGGGTTGGTAACAAATCCGCACCAAAGTGCATAGACATTATTGCTTTCCTCTACTGTGATGAAGCGGCATCTACGAAATCCTTGAGTCGTTGATTGATATCAAAAGAAAATATATATCTTTATTTTCAGTCCCTCTTCATTCATATCAAAATCAACAAACATATATCCGTACTGTTACTGTCAAAATAAAGTTACAAAAACGTTTAGAATGCGCACACCGCATAGGACAATCATAAATTTGAGTTCTTGCATGCCGCCCTCAAGTCTTGGCTAGTTTTCAACTTTGATACCGCAATAAGCTTTGATACGAGACGCTGCCTTCTTGGACTCTGCCGAAGCATGAAATCGTGTATAGCCACGACCATCACATGGATTATAGAGCAGTGGGTGCTCATCGTCCACTAGTTCTTTTGGTACTTGTAAGACTCCATTGTTGAATGTAAACAGACCGAGAGAATATCTCGTCTTGTTTCCGCAATGCTTCACTCGGTGTTGGCAAGCTTTTATTCTGTCATTGCTCCACATCTAAACCAAATCGAACAAATTATGTTTAGTAATTTACTACTTGCATCATCATTAAATATCTCTGTCTTTGTTATACTTATTATATTGTACTATGATCATTGAGCATATTTTGTTTATAAAATTTATACGTGAAGATATGTTATTCGTGAAGTGTGGAACCACCATGTTTTAAGTTTGGACTCACCTGCAATCCATCGGCTGCCATGAATAAGAACTGTGAAGGCACAGACTCAATATTAATCCAATCACCTTCCTTTGTTTTAACCTCCAACCCACTAACATCGTGCTGAACAACTATGGTTGTGAAGCTATTGTCTGTATGCATTGGAAACCTTAACGTAGTGTCAGTGTCCTCCGGCACCTTATATTTGATGAATCTAAGGAGGTGACTGTTGCAATTAGCGACACACTCGTACTCGTTTCCTACACCAAAGCTGTCGAATAACATTTGTCCCACTGTTCGTTCCAAATCTCCTAATAACTGCCCAAATGAATCCGTAGTTTCACTGCACCAAAACAACAACAAAAAAAGTTTGTATAAACAACAAATAAATAATGCATGCATCCAATACTCATGTATAAATGCTACATAAGAAATAGAAGTTACCAACTTACCAGAAGTTTTTCTTTCCAGCAGGCCACATCAGATTTTTGAACTTGTGAGTTGCCTGGGGAGATGTCACATTATCGATGCACAAGCTTTCATAGAGTGGCATGAAGGGGTTTGGACCAATATACCCACGATACGGTTGCTCACCAACATTCTTTACTTTGTTTTCTACGGGAACCTCAAACAGATCTGCGGCCTGGCCAAAGATGTTGTTTTGAAGTTCTGGAGAAATTTGATCATACTGTGCCACGAAAGAGCCGTATTCTTCGAGTGCGTACCGGACTTGTTTGGCGGTGGACAACCAAGAACTTGATCCGGGCTTCAAGCCTTGGGCTGAGAAGTTGATAGTAGGAAGCTTGGGAGGTGCTAAGGAACCCATTTCACTAAATAATTAAACCCTAAACTTTGGTAATCTGTTACAAGAACTAGCTTGTGGAAAGAAAAGTGATGGATATGAAAACATGCAATGCTGCATGCTGCTTTTATAGTGGCTGTTCATGCAGGTTATGTGTCTTCCAGGAAAAATAGGTCAACAATAACAACAACCAGTACGTCAGCCTTCGATCGAGCACTCGAGTACGTATTGACTACAGGCTTCAGACATTTCAACGACGAAAGGCTCAGCTCCTACTCCTCGTACAGGTTGCCAGAAAAGTTGCTACTAGCAACTTGCTAGTATCGGTTGCCAAAAAAGAGCCACGTGCTAATAAGGCAAGTCTCGATTGAAATTATAGTCAATTATTGTTTGTTTAATACTATTATCTGGTAAACTTGGACTTTTCAACTCTTGTTTGGAGAAAATTAGAACCATAATTCACTTGATGAATACGATGTTTAGTGAACTTATTATATGTTGTTGGTAGGCTGGTGAATAGTTGGTAGATAGCCTATATAGAAATCTTCCCTCTAGTGTATATTGCATGATTTTATTCAGTTGAGGGCCACTTTAATTCGATCGACAAATATATATATATATATATATATCCGTCCTTATTTTTTGTCTAATTTTTTACAAAAAAAAATTTATGAATGCTATTTTGAAAGGTAAAAAGTATAAAATACATTATATAATAGGCTCCATAAAAATATGTTCAAAAGTTGTGTAAAAAAATTGGTGTCGTAGATCTGCTATAGATAATATGTGTGTGTGTGTGTGTGTGTATACATGTATGTATATATTCGTTTTGACTTATAAGTACATTTCCACGGAAGAGGATCCTCTCCTGAGCTTAGGATGGGGATCCTCCTGACCAGGTCATCCGGGCCGTTCAAATTTAATCTAATGGCTTTAAATAGAAGGACCCACTAAAAGTTATAATAATTGCAACCGTTGGATTAAATTTGAATGGTCTGGATGACCTGGTCAGAAGGATCCCCATCCTAAGCTCAGGAGAGGATCCTCTTCCCATTTCCACAATACCTTTCTAGAATCTGATGGTCAAGCGTTCAAAGCATTTGAACGGAGAAAATTCTAAGAGCCTTTCCTCTTTTGATTTGTTCCATCTTTCACATTAGTTGGGGTAGAATGTAAGTGTTTCTGTTTTTTTTTAGTGGTAAAGGTGTCTGGTTATGGTAGTTCATATTCTTTATTTTCATGGCGTCTCATGGTAGCAAGGACTGTCTTAGTACTAAGTTTGTTAATTTATTGTTGTAATAAGTTCATAAGTTCACGTTGAGTTTTCTGTTTTATCTAGTCTCACTTAGGCGAGTTTTGTGTACTTGCTATAGGTTATTTTTGTTTTCTCACCATATGCAAAGTTTGAGTTGTTAACCTTGCTCTTGTAATAGATATGTCGTGTTATACAAATTTATGGCTAACTGTATCATGACCGTTGTCATATTTATAACTCAATTGAAGACTTTTCCTAGATAAAATGACCTAAGCCCATCTCGAAATCAATTGAGTCACATTTCTCCTCACTTGTAAGTTAGGTTTTAAGTTTAAATCTTGTGAATGACGAGTCCGATACCAATTTATTTCCTCACTCTTCATGTAAATGTATATCATTGTATTAAAATAATTATATATATATATATAACCCAAACAAACTAAATCACTTAGAGGGATGTATTCAACTGAGATTTTTTGAGAGATTTTGGGTTTTGATGAAGCTTAATTGATTTCTAGAGATTTCATGTGAAATTTTGATTCAACGCCAGGAAGATGTGAGATTTGTGAATGCTAAAAATACATTACTGAATCTCTCCAATTCCCTCAAATTCCTAAACTTTCTAAAGTTCACCTGGAATGTTATAAACTTGTTTAAATCATAATTGAATACATTTGAATTTCTAAAGATTTTAATAAACTATTTTAAAACCCTAGTTGAACACATATTGAATTTCAAAGATTTATTTAAAATGCTGATAGAATACTTCTAAATTTATTAAAAAAATTAAAATCTTCCAGAATCCCAATTGAATACACCATCACTTAAATTTTTTAATATTTGCTTCCAAAACAACAAACGCAATGGTATTCTACCATAGCATATCAAAGTTATCAACTATAGTTTGGGTATACGGACCTTTACTATCGGCCGTCGACGTCTACCACCTTTGAAAGAAGTAGGATTCTCTCACTTCCTATTTCTATCATCTTCTCTCCCGTCCTCTCACATATTTTTTTTCTTTTAATATATTAACACAAAGAATGGTAATTAAACATATTTTTAAAGAACACAGTAATATATGTTTCTTTTTAGACAAAGACAGTAAGAATAGAATCTGGATCCTCGTCAGATTCTCTTTGTGAGAATTTTAGGGATCCGTGAATCATATACGTTTATCATACATCGTGTGATTAAAAATTATTTTAAATATTTTTATTTAAAATTAAATACAAACAATACCTGATAAAAAATAACCGCACAACGTATGATAAACAAACACGATTTACAGGTTCCTAAAATTCTTATAAAAAAAATCTGGAGAGGATACTGTTGGAGAAGAATATATTGAGTCTTCATTATTCTAATATTTTCTTTTTGGTCAAAAAGTAAACTGCTAGTTTGCGTCATCATACACGAATTTTAGCCGCCATACAGAATTTTCTAATTGATATAAAAATGGATGTCCAACTCGGAGAAAAACGGCACCGGCCTCCAACAACAAATGTTCAAAATATGCTATTTACTTTTACATTTCTTAACAGAGAAAACATTGTTTTTTTATACGTTCATCATACATCGTATGGGTAAAAATTATTTTAAATATTTTTTTATTTAAAATTAAATAAAAAATTACCTGATAAAAACTAACCGTATAATATATGATAAACAAATACGATTTACAAATTCATATAATTCTCACCAAAAAAATCCAAAGCGGATACTGTTGGATAAGAATATATTGAGTCTTCATTATTCTAATATTCGCCTTTTTTTCAAAAAGTAAACTGCAAGTTTGCATCATCATACACGAATTTTAGCCGCTATACAGAATTTTCTAATTGATATAAAAATGGATGTCCAACTCGGAGAAAACGGCAACGACCTCCAACAAATGTTGAAAATATGCTATTTACTTTTACATTTCTTAGCAGAGAAGACATCGTTTTCTTATATAAAAATCTATCAGCTGACAAATATTATAAAGAAGAGTGGATACAATTTCATTAGTTTGTATAAAGTGCCCAGATATCTTCAATTTCACAACACTAAACTCATCTGATAAAAAATAAGCATATGAATGTTTAGCTGGGGGATTCATATTTGTTAGCCGTAAGCTCAATAAAACAATAAAGGAGGAGTTCAAGCCAATAAGGTTCCTTATTTTGTGAGTGACGACGATAAAAGAGGGAGATCATCTATCATATGCAGTCTTATCTTTACTCTACAAAAATAATTTTTTAACAACCCGAACCTGTGATTTTTCAGTCACAAAAAAACAAATTTTCTGTTGTGTCGAGACTAGATCCGGTTAACTCAATAAAACCATGTGCCCAGAAACGAAAAAAAAAATCCATAAAATCATGCTTCTGACGCGTGCAATTGTCTTAGAAATGCTTATTCAACATTCAATGGTCTTGACCCACTAGAAACGTAAGACAATAGTTAAAAAAAATTTGACAATGAGCACACATTTTGTGTGTGGACAATTTCATTTTCTTTTTTGTTTTTGGTTAAGAAGTGTGATTAGTTTTTTAAATTTTAAAAAAGAGTATGAGACAATGATGATGAGATCTCTTAATAAGGGCATATTTTTCTTAATATTACATAATTACCATTTTGTCTTCTTTATGTAAATTTTTTGTATCAAAAGTAAGGGTTAGGAAAATTGGGGATATGATTGTCATTTTCTCAAAAGATACAAAATTACTATTTTGCCCTCCTTATGTAAGTATTGTGTATCAAAAGTAAAGGTAAAATTGGAAAAAAAAAAGGCAAAAATTTGATAAGGAGGGTTCTCTTTATAGAATAGAATAGAATAGATGAGAATAACATTGTGCGTTCCTAATTTGTTCTACTGTTGCTCAACATTTTCTTCAAATTTTGAATTCTTTACAAGGAAGATGAAGTGACAGTTGTAGTCGTTTGCATAACTGCACTTCGTATATAAATATATAATACGTGTATAAACTCAATTGCAAGTCTTTTTTTAACAAGAGAAAAACTCATAGAATAATATTTTAGAGATATGAAAGAAAGACCAGCATCATTTTAATTTGGGTAAATTACGGTTTGACCCTTTGAACTATCACTACAGATGAAATTGACCTCTAAACTATTTTTTTGGTAAATTAGCCTCCTGAACTATTTAAAATCAGTCAATTAACCCCTTACCGTTAGATTGTGGAATCAATTTCGTCAAATTCAAGGGCAAATTAGTCGTTTCATCATTAATTGTTACTTGTCGGCTCTAACCATTAATAAAATTTTGACATATGGACACATAATAATTCAAAAACATATAGCATAATGAGAAAACATAAAAATAATCCAAATGTTTACATAACGGACCATCTCACATTGTTAATAAACATTATTTTGTTTTCAAATGTCATAAGTTCATTAGTGGTTATAGTTGGCAAGTAAGAATTGATGAAGGAAAGACTAATTTTCCTTTGAATTTGACCAAATAGTGGATGAAACCTATCGATAATGGGTCAATTGACTGATTTCAAATAGTTTAGGGGGTTAATTTACTAAAAAAAAAAGGTTCAAAGGGGTCAATTTCAACTAGAGTAATAATTCAAGGGGTCAAATGATAATTTACCCTTTTAATTCACACTGATTTTGCTCGTAATTTGTTTCTTTTGTATATTCTAACGTGTAAAAATTGGAAAATTTCTTATAACTTGTTTTATGTTCTGCCCTGCATAAAATGTTAGCTCTGCCAATAAAAAGAGCTATTGGCTAAAATATTTTGTCGACTCCGTTTCAACTCCTTTTTCAGTGGTAGCGTTTCTCTTTTGGTGTTGGCGACTTGGCGTTGGACCTTGGTCCAATATTCTCATCTCTAATCCTTGTTT